TTTGCCAGTATTTTATTGAGGATTTCACATCGATGTTCATCAGGGATATTGGTCTAAAATTCTCTTTTTTTGTTGTGTCTCTGCCAGGCTGTGGTATCAGGATGATGCTGGCCTCATAAAATGAGTTAGGGAAAAGGATTCCATCTTTTTTATTATTTGGAATAGTTTCGGAAGGAATGGTACCAGCTCCTCTTTGTACCTCTGACATTTGTACCTCTGATTCAGCTATGAATCTTTCTGGTCCTGGTCTTTTTTTGGTTGGTAGGCTATTAATTATTGCCTCAATTTCAGAGCCTGTTATTGGTCTATTCAGGGATTCAGCTTCATCCAGGAGCTGGTTTTTTGAAAAGATCAATAGATAGACTGCTAGCAAGACTAATAAAGAAGAAAAGAGAGAAGAATCAAATAGATGCAATAAAAAATGATAAAGGGGATATCACCACCGATTCCATAGAAATACAAACTACCATCAGAGAATACTATAAATACTTCTATGCAAATAAACTAGAAAATCTAGAAGAAATGGATAAATTCCTGGACACATACACCCTCCCAAGACTAAACCAGAATGAAACATCCAATTAACCTTTAAAATTCAGCCCAAATATCAGTTTCTCCAGGAAATTTCTCTTTCTTCTTCCTAATCCTCGTCCGATGGAATGATGGAATGGAATCCATGGAATCCAATGGAAGCCTCATCCAAGCTTCCACCACAGCCCCTGGAGAATGTTTCTCAACGTGTAGGCCTTCATTAAAGGTTTTAATTCAATTTTGAATTCTTTAAAGAATACGATTTTACCCCATTATCTCTGCATCCCCAGTCCTGTGACAAGGGCGGGGGACCCTGGGAAACGCCTTTTCTCGTGGATGTGAATGGCCTGTGACAAGGGCGGGGGACCCCGGGAAACACCGTTTCTCGTGGATGTGAATGGCGTTTTCGCCATCACTTTAGGCTTCTTGACTCTTAGTTCATCTCTGCCTCATGTCACTTTGGCCCTACATCCCTTTGCTAGAATTTTCTGGTGTTTTGAAGTATTTTCATGTTGAATAGCAATTTCAGAGCATCGATGTGTTACTCGGGGTGCTATTTATTTAAATGTCAAATCCACGTAATGTGGCCACAGTCAGAGTTTCATATCCCAGGCATATCTTCAAGTCATAGGAAAGGACAGAAAACCCAAAAGCTGCCTGATGAGCCATTGTGTTGTGTGAATTCTTCCATCAGAAAGCTTTTTAAACCCATTTCTTTCTTTCCCAGACAACTATGTTCCTGAATTGACTGATGATGGGACTAAGCCACAGATGCTGTTGAGGCCACTGCCCAAGCCCTTTCTTCTTAGGCGACTGCTGGTCTCCTCCCAGCTTGCTCCCAACTGCACTGCCTGCCCCCTCCATGCCCTCTCTCAAGCTGCCACTAACTTGTTTTTTCCTAAAACATATTTGCAACTCGTCCTCCCCATGCTCAGGAAAGGCCAGCAGCTGTCTATTCAGCTGGACCAGCGGGGCCTCCCGGGACATCCCTTCCACCTCTGCACACGGCCCTGGCTCAGGCCTGTCGTGTGAGCCATCCAGTGTTGTCTTTCCAACATTCCACCTCAGGCACCTCCTTGACCTGCAGCATTCCCAGCAAATGGACTCATTCATTCATTCATTCATTCGTTCACTCAATAACTGGATATCAAGCCTCTAGATACAAGTCATAGAGACAGTCTCCTTTCCTTCCTTTCACACCTACACAAACAATTCTCATGGATCACAGCTTTCCCCGAGCATCTTTCCTCGGCTTCCACTTCCCATTGGCTCCTCCTTTGCTGAAGTTTTTGTTTTGATGTTAAATCTGGCACATCGTTATATCTGTTCATAGATATAGCCCATTAAGAGATTTTTAAGCTAATTAAATGAGCTTATGTTTGTATTATATGTATGTTTTTATCCCATGATACCATAATACTTAGCCAAAGTATTCATCAATAAATAGCTGCTGGTTAGTTGATATAAACATTAAATCAGGCACTGTCCATGTGGATTTCTGATGCCGTTCGTATTGTATCTGTTGAGTCGTGCCTTGCTAGTGCTGTAGTTTATTTTAGCGGCAGGTCTACCCTGTTCTTTTCTGGAGTGTGCATCGAATAGCGCCACAGGCATCTAATGGGTCTTCTTCACTCAGTTCCAATGTTCTTCCTCTAAACCATGGAGGAAGTGGCTGTGGTGTACCCTGTGAGCCGGTGTAGAGGCCGTTCAGTGGGGCTCTGGCCAGCTTCTACTGCTCGTCTCTTCTTAACTCCCCGTCGGCTTGAGTAGAGTTCTTCTGCTCTCCGGTTTGCCATGTGCAGACACTTGACGTACTGTGGGAATATTTGCTGAACTAATGTACTCACATGTATTTGCCATGCAACAGCATGCTCCTGAGGCTTAGAGGGAGCATAGGCAGACATGTGATTTTTTGGTTCCTACTCCAAAACCTTCTACTCAAATGATCTTGGTTTTAACTCAGGTGGTCTGAATTTTAGTTTTCTTGTGTATTAAATAGGTATAATAAAAATACTTTCCTTACAAAATTGTTGTGACGATCCCACAAAGTAATATAAAAGCATCTGTAATGTCTCAAGTATAAGATGTGTTAGTTCCTATGAGTGGAAGGTCTAGATGCCTCAAAGGAAACCTAGCAGTTTAGATAAATGTGGAGGATAGTTGCATTCCAGGAACTAAACAGTATTGGGAGTGCATCCCTCGTGGTGAAACATGTTCTTCCACTATACCTACAGCCTCTTGTCTTAACCGCTTAATCAGATTAAACCTTTCAGTTACAAGGAGAATCTAAATATTATATACATATAAAATATGCATGTGTATATATAAATATAATGTATATGTTATATATAATGTTTATATAATATTTAGATTCTTATAACTGAAAGGTTTATATATATACACACAAAGTATATGTTATATATAAATATATGTTTTATATATACATAAGATATATAAAAATACATATATATAATATATATATTTACCTTCTTGTAAACCTAATGGCTGTTATATTCTTGGTACAAATTACAACTCAGAAGCACACAGGTATGCCTCCATCAAATTCTTGAAAAGAGAGTAAATAGATGGTACTTCAAGATTCATCAAAATCTACCCCATTATAGAGGGCAAGGGCCTCCTGACTCAGTGTTCCCTACATTGAATCCCTCTGTTTATAATTGTTTGAATAATACATTTAGATTGCCTGACCCCGGTCTTACCCACCCCCTGCCCTTGTAGAGGGCTTCCCTTCACGGAATGAAACAGGATTAAAGCCTCATCAATAGAATGCCAGGGAGAGCGAGCCACCCCTACAGGGCTGGCCAGCACAGGCCGGATAAGCACATTGACTGCTGCTAATCTATCCCCAGATGGAGGTGGACACCGAGGAGAAGCGGCATCGCACGCGGTCCAAAGGGGTTCGAGGTACGTCCGCGCTTCCCTGCCTCCTGAGGCCAGCTCAGGGTCACCTTCGTCCTGCGGAACCGAGGTCGATTCACTCTGACCCCACTTTCACGCCACCCTTTTGGTAATTTTCTGTGGAAGAGGGGTGCTTGTGATGGATGGTAAATTGTTATCTATTTCCATCTCTCTGCAGTTCCCGTGGAACCAGCCATACAAGAGCTGTTCAGGTTAGTGCCATGTGGGTAAAATGCATCCCCATTTGCAGTTTGGAAAATTCACGCCTTCTAATGGGTACACTGCACTTTCGAGCTCATGGGTGGCCTGCTCACACCCCGCTGCACTGATGAAATTAATTCCCCCAAGACTTGCTCGTAAAAAGCCTCCCCGAATTGCCCCCTCCTTTGGATTGTGTGATTTCTCTCCTCTGTCCGGGCCGCCCTCCTCTCTGCTGCCACGGAAGCTTTCCGTCTCACCCGCCTGCCTGCGGCACCGTGTAATCCGTTCTTTCCTGTTGCAGCTGTCCCACCCCTGGCTGTGACGGCAGTGGTCATGTCAGTGGCAAATATGCAAGACACAGAAGGTAATGCCTGCATTTTTTTTCCACAATGTGCTGCCTAAAGTGACTGATTTGGGGACCTCGTCCTAATGATGAAATGTGTGGGCAGGTGTTGCTGGAAAGCAATACACGTTATGCTTGCTTTCTCTTCTCTCACTGGAACTCAGTCTTTGTCTCTTGAAGGGGTTCTCGGTTAAACATAAGCCGTTCTATCTCATGGGCAGAATAGGTGACCTTCCTTAGGATGACACAAATTCAGGCCAGCCTTAAACTCATTTCCCATCTGCATCTGTGGTGCTCAGCACATGGCCCCCTGAGAGCCTCCCACTGCTTACCGAGGAGCCCTGTTTCTCCTTCCTCACTTCCTCATTCTGGGAGCGGCAGGATGGTAAACAATGAACGGTCAATTAAAATGTGACCTTCTGACCTCTCTGTAGACTCCATTTCCACCATTTAACGAGGTTCATCCTGGGAAACTAAGCCCATTCTTACATCTGGACGGCTTCAGGGTGAGGTCAGGTCTAGTGAAGGTCAGGGCAGATCAAGCTTGCAAGACTTGGGGACTGCAGTGATTACATTTATCTTGTAAATACTGGCATTTCAGGTCTGGACAGGGATGGGTGTGGAAAACCTTTAGAAACTAAGGGGGAAGGTGATGATTTTGCTCAAAATGTATCATGACAGAATTATATGTTACATGCCCGTGGCTGACTTTCAGGTACACATCAGTCCTTTAGATGTTTCTCTGGTAAGCGTTTTTTTCCCCATGCTATTCATGAAGACGTGTCTTTCAATAGAAAGGTTTCAATTATGATGAGGTAAAAGAGTTCACAGGCTAAAATATGTTTTTAGCTTTACTTTTACAAATTGGGTTGCAAAGACCAAGGTCATTCCAGCCTAACAAACCCTCAGTGAGCAGACCCAGGTCACAAAACTGATTCTAAAGCAGGTGCATCTGCAGCATATCTGGGAGGCCTCTCCTCACGGCCTTGCATTTCGTTTCCTTTTTAGTGAAACATTATGAGTGACATCAAGCAATTATTTTGATTGTTCTTTAGTAAAATCAAAAGAAAAATTACAAACTATTCCCAAATCCCCATGCTAGCATTTGTGGAGGCAGGAATGTCTAATGAGCGCCCCTCATTAAACGATTGTCTGACTTCCTCTGTTACAAACCAAAGGAATTGTGGGCTATTTTTCAGATAATTTTGCAATTTCAATGATTAAATTTAGTCAATTATATTATGATTGTTATTGTATAAAATAGTAAATTATTGAATTACATAATTGAAATAAGTAAAGTATTATTTTATGAAGAAATATATATGTCAGCACTTAATCTAAAAGTCTAAAACACTGCATTGTTTATGTTTTCAAAAGAAGTTAGCCACCCATGAGAAAAATTCGTTTTCCCCTAATCATCTGTTCATTAGTCAGTAGTTAAACTTTATTACACTGTTATATAAAAATTAAACTTGGCAAAAATAAAACTAGCCAGGCAAGGTGGCGGGCACCTGTAGTCCCAGCTACTCAGCAGGCTGAGGCAGGAGAACCTGGGAGGTGGAGCTTGCAGTGAGCCGAGATCCGGCCACTGCACTCCAGCCTGGGTGACAGAGCGAGACTCCGTCTCAAAAAAAAAAAAAAAAAAAAAAAAAAAAAATTAAATTTGGCTAAAAAGTTTTTAAAAATTTTTTATTCTAATTTTTATGTGTACATAATAGGTGTATATACTTAGGGGGTATATGAGATATTTTGATACAGGCAAACAATGTAAAATAATCACATCATGAAAGATGGAATCTTCATCCCCTCCAGCATTTATCCTTTGTGTTACAAACAATTCAAATAACCTCTTTTACTTATTTTTAAATGTACGATTATAAAAAGTTGTAAAGAGGTGTGAGCTACATTTAATTTTATAGCCATCATTTTGCAGGAAAAATCATGATGTTTCCAAATAATTTGAAACATTCCTATCCTTAACCAAGGTGCATTCCACTGCAAAATGAATGGATGTGTCCCATGTAATATGTGTATGGATCTGTTCCTGAGACCTCTTTCCCTGCTTAAGAAATGCTCCCTAGAGTTTGATTTGAAAACAAGTTGGGCTTTGTCTTCTTTCGGAGACTTGCCGCTGACTCATTAGTACAGAAGCGCCTGAGCCATAGAGGAACCATTAGTTGGGATGATAGGGAGGAGTCACGGAAATGCTCCGGCCAGGAGCTCTTTCCAGTAAATTTTTGTTTAATTTTTTAAAAGTCATCATTTTTGCCATGACTCATGTGGTATGTAATTATTAGAACACCAAGTATTTTAATACACACAGTTATCTAGGAGATCTAATGTGGTAGAGTTGAAAAAGAACTATTTCCCGGTTCCTTGGCCCGATGCTGGCTTTCACTGCATCACTAATAGACCAGGAGCTCTGGACAACTTATGTAAGGTCTACGGCCTTTAGTTTCCTCCATTCTAAAGTAAGAGACTGGCAGACTTTATTATGTAAAACCGGTGCAAAGATGTTGCCTGTAATCCCAGCACTTTGGGAGGCTGAGGCGGGTGGATCACGAGGTCAGGAGATTGAGACCATCCTAGCTAACACTGTGAAACCCCGTCTCTACTAAAACTAGAAAAAAGTAGCTGGGCGTGGTGGCGGGTGCCTGTAGTCCCAGCTGCTGGGGAGTCTGAGGCAGGAGAATGCCGTGAACCCGGGAGGCGGTGCTTGCAGTGAGCCGAGATCGCGCCACTGCACTCCAGCCTGGGCGACACAGTGAGACTCCATCTCAAAAAAAAAAAAAAAGAAAAGAAATGTTGTCACTGTGTGAGCCTTCTCTTGAGAGGAATCTCACTGAGCATTTTCTAAGCCTTATTGTTTGATGCCTATGTATTATCACTTTTAATTAAAGGATAAAATTTTAATTTCTTAAACTTAAAAAGTGTCCCTTGATAAATTAGGTAAGACTCGTGGATATGTTAACATCTATGACTACTGCTATTTTAAATTTGGAAGTTTTCTGGTATATCTGCCTTTTTTTTTTTTTTTTTTTTGAGACGGAGTCTCGCTCTGTTGCCCAGGCTGGAGTGTGGCGGCGCCATCTTGGCTCACTGCAACCTCTGTCTGCTGGGTTCCAGCAATTTTCATGCCTCAGCCTCCTGAATAGCTGGGATTACAGGCTCCTGCCACCACACCCAGCTAATTTTTTCATTTTTAGTACAGACAAGGTTTCACCACATTGGCCAGGCTGGTCTTGAACTCCTGATCTCCGGTGATCCGCCCACCTTGGCCTTCGAAAGTGCTGGGATTATAGGCGTGAGCCACACCTGGCCCTGGCATTGCTTTTTTACTAGTTTTGAAAGATTTACTGACTACAAAAGCTACCCCTTCCCGACAGCTATTCTTGCCCGTTCCTGCCAGCATACCCTCCGTGAACACAGCAGTGATGCTCACATTTGCTGTCAGGTTCCTGGTGTGAATAGGACATCAGGCTTTTTCCAAATAGGACAAAAGAGTAGAAGCCTCCGTTTTGGTTCTGATGAAATCACATGTCTTTTTTTGGTCTTTTAACAATGAATGTTTCCAATGAATGTGTTTATGTTAAGGCTACAAGTTCATTTTGCTCATACGGGGCATCAGCAATAGCCAAGTAAAAAGCTTGTATTTCAGTACTTTGAGGTGTTAAAGTATTGGAACTTGCCAAAAACAACTTGAGGTAGATGTGGGGCATCAGCAACGTAGAAAATCAGTTTTTCCTTTTTAGGAAAGGAATACCAAGTAATAAAATGGTGCCAGCCATTCAGGGTTTTTTAGTTTAGTTTTTGTTTTGTTTTGAGACAGAGACTCACTCTGTCATTCAGGCTGGAGTACAGTGACACAATCTAAGCTCACTGAAACCTCTGCCTCCCAGGTTCAAGTGATTCTCCTGCCTCAGCCTCCCAAGTAGCTGGGATCACAGGTGTGCGCCCCCATGCCCAGCTAATTTTTGTATTTTTAGCAGAGGTGGGGTTTTACCATGTTGGCCAGGGTGCTCTCGAACTCCTGGCCTCAAGTGATCCACCTCCCTCAGCCTCCCAAAGTGGTGGGATCACAGGCACATGCCACTATGGCTGGCTCATTTTTATATTTTTAGTAGAGATGGAGTTTCACCATGTTGGCCAGGATGGTCTCGAACTCCTGACTTGAAGTGATCTGCCCACCTCAGCCTCGAAAATTGCTGAGATTACAGGTGTGAGCCACCACGCCCAGCCTGCCATTTAGTCTTTAAGTTTCAGTGTAGAAGATTTTTAAGGAAAGTAAATGTTTCTCACAATTGTAGTTTACAATTACTGCTTTGTAGGACAGATGCTGTGGCAGTTTCTGGGGGCCATGCATCACCCTCTCTGCCACAGCTGCAGGATCTGATGTGGGTCTCAGAAAGCTGTGGGATCTGGTGGTGGGATCTGGTGGTGGGATCTGGCGGTCTCTGCTTGGTTAGCCCCTCCTCAGTGGTGTGCTGGGTCTCTTTGAAAGCGGCTGGAGTGGATTTTGTGTGTGTGTGTGATGGTTGTATAGTTGTTGGCTTGTACGATATTGAGAATAGAGGAGAATCAACCAGTGCTTAATACCTGGGAAGGAAAATAATTTTAAAAAGGAGTGCATGATTTAAAACTCTGGTTAAAATTTTTTGGTAGCAGTAAGGTTATAATATTTATTTTATTGGATGTTCTACATTAATTTCCAAATCATGTCTTTGAACAAAAGATAATCTCTATAGTTATTTACTGGTGTTAATAGTTTATAAAGAATTTGAAATAACTGATAAGCCTATGTACAGACTACACAGGTAAACCTTAAATCAAAATATAAATTTGAAACATAAGGAAATGATCACCTAATTTTACTGAAAACCCAGGATACATCGGGGGTGTTAATGTGGTGTTACATTTTGTTCTGGGTCTCTTGGCTACCAAGGCACCAACTGAGAAAGGCGAAGGACAGAGTTCCAGGATCTGATCAAAGCAGTCAGCTCCTTAGAGACACAGACACTCTT